CAACGAATTTTCAATGCTCCCAGCTGATGGTAACAATTGTTGAAAATACAACTTGCTATAGTGTCGAACTTAAAGTGTCAGTATTGAAATCAGTATGCGTGCAATAAACGTGAATGTATCGAAATACATGTGTGCATGTGTACGTCGTGATCTTTCACGGTGTACGTGCGGAATTCGTTCGTTTCGGGCTATTCTCGAGAGCTGAAGACCAAAAAGTGAAAATATCCCCCAGCAAAGTTTCGAGCTGAAATTAAGCCGAAATGAATTATTGGGGTGTTGACTCACGCCAAGCTGAACATTTTCGAAAGGGGACTTGCGAAGAAACGCAAGTTATGAAAGTCAGGAAAAAGCAAAAGTACAGAGTTAAAATAATTTTACAAAGTCCAACGTAATGAGATTGCATCATTGTCTTTCAACTAAACAATACCTAAGCGATAATTTTTACGTTTACAGGTGTCTACATCGATGGTTCTAGTACCATTCAAGTTTTTCAATATAATAGTCGCAAACAAATGGACAAGGGCACAAGTAGACGTAGTTAATAAGAATACATTAGACTTCACACATTTTGTTTGACAAGCGTGTCTTGTTGAAAACATAAAACTCTTGGGTAATTCAGTCACATGCCCACCATTAACTTATTGTTTTTACCATTTTTATTTCAAGTGAGAAAATACGGAAAGTTTATGCAATTTCGAGATTAAATTTGACCAATTTACTACAGTAAAGAACGTTTGCTGGCCTTACATCTAAATTCGCACAGTCACGATGCAATATGAACAATCATACATTTATGTTCGTAGTGCACATCGGGTGCAAAAGAACGGAGATCTTCTCCGAAAGAAAAAGAAAAGTTTAAGGGAACAATGGGTATTATAAAGATGCGAAAGTGAGAGAACGCACAATGGCATCAATAAAAGTTGTCTCAAACTCGACAGCACCGTCGCAGGGTAAAGCTTCTCGGGACGTGCTCCCGGCACTTCAGCACGAGTGAATCAGAGTTCTTGACGCCAGAATTTGGTCTTGTTCTCCTGGCCAAGTGAACCCTGCCGTGCACCTTAGGCTGACCAAGACTTTGGTGCGCGGAAGTGCAACAGTGCCCTCGTTCCTCTAGTTACACCGTGGCTGACCAAAACCTTGGGACGCGCTGGTAAATCGATTGTTTTTCAGAGCACAGTTAACCTAACATCAACTTTCAACCACAAAATTTTACCGTCAACGACTAGTTGAGGCTACTCCGAGATCACGTTGACAAGTTGCAGGTGACACGCGGTGCGAGCTGTACAAACCTTCTCATAGCTACTGAGTGTGATCTTCTAAGTACGTATGCACGTAAGGCACTTACTTTTGAGCAATTGCATTGACTTGAGGCCTACTTACTTTCAAATGAGTTTATCATGAAAATATAATCATAAGATTTTCTCCCGTTAAAGCAACGCTTTAGATATTCGGTGAGATTGAAACGGTACGTGAATTTTAACATTTTTTGTACTGCTGATTTTCGTACTATCCGAAAAGCACTACTATATTTAACTAAACTTCAAACTAAAGTGTAACTATATTACTTTTGTTAAACTGTAAGCAACGATAAAGTGTCACTTGTAAACAAGGATAGATATGTACATTATCTGTAGAGACGGGCAGAACACTGGCACGCTATATCAATAGTTACACGTGTTTGTTCAAACTGTACAAATATCGTACCAATATTAACACACTTGACTTGTAAATTTACATATTAATTAATTATCATAATTTACTTCTATCATAAAAGAGTAATCGTCGTGTGATTTAAAAGCCATTTTATTTGTAGTATGATTGATTACGTCGAAGCACGTGGTTTGTTTGATGTTCTTTTTTCCTAATTAAATGCGTTTCAATTTACATTTTAACTTAAGCAGAATATTATAAAAATAATCTAGAGTGATGATACTTGATTTATTTATTTTTTTCAATGAAGAAAATAAAAACAAATTGTATAATATTTCAACACGGCCTGCACACTCTTTAAGGTATTAAAGAAAACTGTGGGAACCTATAAATAATAGAAAAAGTCATAACATTTTTTTCAATGTCTGCAAAAGTCATGTAAAGTCCTTCAAAGACTGAATATATGTTTTTCTTATCGAAATTATTTTTTAATACTTATAAACATCGTTGATTACATGGTACAACCTAAATTAGGTGTTCTTCGTACACTTCTACTGCAAAAACTTTTGTTACTATCTGTCATTGTGTTAACTGCCATATCATTTAACACAAATACAACACGTGATTCAATTGCATGAAAATCTTTATGGGTAGTGAAAGTCATCGAAAGTCAGTAAATGACTCAAAAAACCTATTAAAATTATATGATGAGATTAAAATTTTTTTGCAATATGTTTGCAGCCACTTGAAGGCTTGACATGACTTTGGCAGTCTTTATTTTTACAGATTTTTTAACTTTTTGCTTACAATTATTTCAATACTTTATAAAATTTTCTAAATTTTAACATTTTTTCTTTTTTGTGAGAAAATTTTTAAAGTTTATTATTATTTTGTTTTGCTAAGGATGGTTCATTTAAATAATTCTTATGAGTCCTAATTTTTTTCTGAATTTTTCTACGATTAGTTATATGACCAACAAGCTCTTGACTAAATTTTTTACTTTGAGGTGTAAAATTGGAATTTTTTTTAATTTTGTACTGATCTACGTAAACTAAGTGAATGATGCATATCTTCTTAACTGTTTTTGTCGGCATCTTAATTTGTTTGTTTGAGCAACGTCCGGAACAGTGTTTTTTAATGCAAAATACATTTTTTCTGGCATTTTTTCAGTTTTAATTAATTATCTTGAAAAGAGTAGCTCCTACGAAAAAATTTTTTATACAAAAATTGTTCAAGTGATGTTTCAACACAAGAGTAGGAATTAAAAAAATAATTTATCGAAGTATGATGAAATGACGTGTTCTGGCACTAATATCGAGATCCAATCAATTGGAGTCGGTAGATATGGGCAATAGCTGAGATTTCTCAAAAATTCAGATTTTTTAATAAATAAAGAAAAACCAAGACCATATTTTTATCAATTTTCAAAGCATTCGATTTCACCGATTTTTTACTAAGTTAAAAAAAAGAAAGTTTTTTTTTGCGACCAATATAAGCAGAGATACGATGTTTTAACTATTTTAGACCCAGCGGCCGCCATTATTCATTTTTCGACTTCGGATCCCGAAGCCGCACGAAGAGATCCAGACTATATATGACGCCCTTCGTGCAGCTTCGGGCGCCATCGGTACGCGTGGCTTGAGGCGGGCCACCACGTGTAAATTTTCACTAACTTTATCTGTCATTTGTTACAAGATGTTTGCTTCAGCTGATTTGGAAAAAAGTGCCGACTGTTCGTTAAATATTTAAGAAGACGCTTGACTTGATTTGAAGTCCAAATATTAATTAGGACGGCCATTGGGTGTAAAATAATAAAAAAAAATCACTCGCTTCCACATATCTAAGTTAAATATTGACGAAAATAGGGTCCTTAGTTGCCTTTTTTTTTAAATCACCTATTGGCTTATTTATTTAAAAATCTAAATACTTGAGAGACCAAAGCTATTGTGCATACCTAAGGAAATCCAATTGGTTAGAATTCGATATTGTTGACAGGATACACGTTATGAACAATCGATATTTCAACTTAATAATTTTGCAATAGTTCGCCATTTGCAAATTTCTTAATCGAATTTGCGGCATATTGTTGAGGCATCGACAAGACTACAACATACTCAATTTTCATTAACTGTAAAGCATTTTTACTACTTTGGAATTTTTTTGTTGGTCCTTATCGCTTGTTCAAACAATTAAAAATAAAAAAAATTTTCTCCAATTCTGAGTTACGTGAAGAATTTTTATCACTTGAATAACTTTGTATAACAGTTTTTTTATTAAAAACTACTTTTTTCGAGATGTTTAATAAAAACTGAAAAGATGCCGCATAAACAATTTGTTTTGCATTAAGAAACAAACAAACATTTTCAGACCTCACTCAGTATCCAAAATTTAGAATCATGGGCTTCGTATTTTTCTTTATAATTTCACACCTAAGTTTTGAATCCTTAAAATGTAAAAAATTTTCACTTTTGGAAATTTTTTAGCCTCTGACGCCCTTAGAGATTACAATGAACAACGAAAAATGCTCTTCGAATTTAATTTTTTTTACGAACAGATTACTGTTTTCTATAACAAAATCGCGAATGCCTGTAATCAATTCTTTCACCTATTGTGAATTTAAAATTTTTAGGATTCCAATTAAATTTTCCATAAAATAATTCAATATCAGAGACACAAACATTCAGAGAAATCTTTTTCCAGATACTTTTCTTTATACACCAACAACCGTTCAAAGTTAAAAATCCAAGTATATTTCTTAAAAAGGGAACTGTCGTTCGACATCCTCGATAAAGATAGTATATGTGTTAAGATTGCCTGGGTAAGACATGGTATTCACGATCACAAAGATAAAAAAAATTGCAGAAAAATTTTGCCTCTTTCAGTGGTGTACAACATGCTAAATGCAATAATAAAATACCGGAACATTTATTAATCAATTATGAAAGTTGATGGAATGCATTTTTTTTCTCAAGGAGTAATATTAACCTTGCCCACAAAAAAAAGTCTAACTGCCGCATAAAATTGATCGCAAAATACTTTTACGACTTTCTAACAATGTAACACTTAACAAAGAAAAAAAAATCCGTTGTTTAATCGATGCATCAGAGAATCAATTACACATAAGCCAAATGAAATTTATGAAATAACTGATGAACAACTTTTTTTGTTGGCAGAAAAACTTACCAATAAAAATCCTCCAATCCTTGGTCATGGATCAGTAATAATCGTCTAAACAAGAAAAGCTATGATCAGAAGACCTACAACAATAAAACAGTGATTGCCACTGGCTTGGTAGGAACTAAATCCCAACGCATCCAAAACTTCAGTGGCACATCATGGATAAATGCAAGATGTCATTGAGGAGCAACGGTCGAAGGTCTAGGCGCGAAAACGAGACCGCCAGTACATCTGCAGGGACAAGCCACGTTTGCAGCGAGTGTGGAAAAACATTCGCCACGACTTGCCACCTCAAAAGACACGAGCGCACCCACACGGGAGTAAAATCCTTCCAATGCTCGTTTTGCCGAAAGTCATTCGGAGAAGCCGGTACTCTCAAAGTGCACACGCGCATCCACACGAGCGAGCGTCCCTTTAAATGCTCGGTGTGTAAAAAGCGCTTCACCCAACCCAGTAATCTCACGGTACACATGCGCTACCATACGGGTGAAAAGCCCTTCCAGTGCTCCCAATGTCCACGAGCTTTCAAACAAAAAGGCGGCCTCACGACCCACATGCGGAGCCACACGGGCATCATTTATGATCGATGCTCCGTCTGTCAGAAGGCATTTTCCGACCCGAGCAACCTCATACGGCACATGCGCATCCACACGGGCGACAGACCCTACAACTGTACCATGTGTGATAAAACATTTATCACCTCCAGTGATCTCGTGAGGCACAAGCACACCGTACATAAGAAATAAGTGTTGATAAGTGTTGTACTTAATTTTTTTTTTTAATAACAATTTTACATAAGATATTTTTTAGAGAAAAACTTTGCAATATATTTTAATAGTCATGTTATTCTTTTGTATGATTAAATTGAACGGATGTACTTATACGATTATAAAGGACTAAGAATGTTTCGTTGTGCAATGAGTATTTAATAAAAAATTGCATGCTGTATATATATATATATTATTTTGCCATATAATAATCTACGTTTCCTTCAAAACCCTTGATGAAAAAGTGTTTTTTACTTGAGCACATAAAATAGAAAACAAGGCTATCACATCTTCCTAGATATCTTCGGTGCAACAAATATATTTAATATAATATATACTTGATTTACATTATGACTTTTTTTTTTTCATAAAAATCTTGTGGTCGTAGTAAACCTCAATCCCTCAACTAAAAATAACAATTTGCGAGGTAAGGTACAAAGTTCTGTTGAACGAAGTTGATGTAAGTTCACAGTGTTGTACTCATAGTAACCTGTATTTTATTTATTTCTTCATAATTATTGATTCATTTGGAATGTAAATCATAAGATTTATTTGGAAATTAGTACCATGTTGGACCAAAAAGCTGTAACCAGTTTGTTAAATTGATGCTAAAAAGAATCGGCAAAAAGAGTGCACCCAAAGAAAAAAAGGGTCCGAAGTTTGGTTCAAAGAATATCTCTTGGCCATAGCTATACTAAGATGTGAAGGACGAAAGGAGGTGGCTAACAACTTCATGCAGCCGAGGCTGTAAAGCTGTCCTCTCTGTTTGTACGCGTGTGCGAGTATATGTGTACCCCAAACGACAAAGGCCATCGTACAAAGGAGGCGAAGCGGAGGAAGAGCAGCAGAAGCGAAGGATTTCATTACGTCCGCGGGAGGCTTCATAACCAAGGGACTCTTTGGCCCCTTCCCCTCCTTGGCGATAAATCGGGATTGTCCTCCTTATTAAAGTTTTCCGACTACGGAGTCGCGTCAGAGCTCCATCGTCTTGGGGGATGCGTGGGGCGAGTGGATGTACGGGTGAGCCGGCGAATGACTTAATTCTCGCGTTATTGAAAATTTCCGGCACGCTTCTTCTCCCGCACCTCCACTCCTCTCCCTGTCTCTTACTGCCCGTTCTTTGGTCCTTTACCTCACTCTTCGAGTCTTGCGTTGTCTTGCTGTGGTCGGGTGAGTGTGCATTACCAACTTTATAAACTATGCGCAAGACCTTAGAATATGCTGTACAAAACAAAGGAGACTAGTTTCAAACGAAGCCAATATATACGTAATACCGTTCCTGGAAGTGGTGATAGCATAACTATTTATCATTCCAGAACTCGAGAAATATTACAATGAATGCTGCCGGTAGTACGTGATAGAGATATTTTTGGTGTGGAAAATAGTAATAAGGATAAATTTTTGCATAGCTGTATATTGATTGATACATTAAAGTCACAAAATACAAAGGGTGAGTGATGATATATACCACGTAACATACAACGTGAAAAAGTTTCATTTGTGTGCACCAACATTAAAACGAATACTAAAGCAGCTAAATTTATGCACAAAATTAGATTGTCGTGACCGATACATTTTTTGAAATAATTGTGAATTTATCAATATCAGAACTGTTGCTTCAGTTTTCTAGATATTTTTATAAATTATGATTGTTGAGACGATGTTTAGCACACTTATTCAACATTTTATCAAATTTTTAAAATATGAAGATAGTTTTCGAAAAGTAAATAAAAATATTGAAAAATTGTATTTTTTTTTAGACCTATACTATCCTCTTTGACATCCAATGTGCAAATCTTTAATTTTTTAAGATGCACCCAAAAAACTATTTTTTTTCTTCAACCTGCAAACAACACATTTTTTAACATAAAGGCACGACAATACCTTTTTTGGGCATGTGTATAGGTTGTTCAAGTATTATTTTTTTGAAATTCACATTTTTTCTCGACTACGAATGGATCCAAAAATTTGAACAGTTGCATGCAAAAAACGGGTTACAATTTTTCAGAGTTACACAGTCTCGGGGCTGGTAAAATTTGTCCCTTCGACAAAAGTTTTTGAACTTGAAAATGTTAGTTGTGGTGTTTAAACGAAGCTACAAACCAAATTTCAGCCCAAGTGGATGTAAGCTCTTTCAGATAGTCGATGTGCACGTCTTCTTACATTAACGTTTTGGAATTAATCAGGTACCACTTCGATCGCTCACATAATGGCCTCCAAATTCATTTTACACCAAAAGTAAACGATTGAATTGAAAGATCACTTTTTTTGCACTGATGAAAATACAAAGCCTGTAAACTAAACCAAAATAGTTCATGAACCCCATCACAAACTCCCAAGCACCAACTCGAAAACAAAATGGCACCCGATACAGTGTCAGCTATATGCATTCATCCCTCACTCGGAATTCAAACACCATTAACTCCCTTGCTAACGCTGTCCCAGACATCCATCAGTCTACCCCTTCTCCCCGGTCGCGAATCCCCTTTCATCACCTTATCAGACGCGAAACGAAGAAGCCAAATCCTCGAAGGATATCGGCTAGCCCAGCCAGAAGAGAGAAAAAAAGCCCTTTTGCCTTGTGTGGACATGTATATACATACACACGTGTACATTGTAGCGCGCCTAAAACTACAGGAGAGAGCCTAGACACGCGGGGCAAACGGTGTGTTCGTGGGGCGCGGTCTTTCTCTCCCGCACTATGAAACGCCGGCAGTCGGTGAAATTTAAGAGCGCATTTAAAACTGGTTTGGCGCGATGCCCTAAAACCTCCCGCCTGCCGGGAAGAGATACCAGGGCGAGAGGAAAGGGTACAGCCGGTGGTGTGTGTAGGCTCTTTCCATCCGACAGCAGTTTATCGCTCTTACATTCTTGGAGAGCCTCTGGATGGATTTGCCTGTGCAGAGCCCAGGCTTCCCCCCCATCCAGTGGCTGGCTGGGATGGATCGAGAAAAGAGTACACGCGAGAGAAGATAGTTCGAGGTGGCAGGAAAATTGCCCGACGTGTTTCCCCCCCCCCTGCACCCAAAGTGCGATGTTTGTTTTCGCGTTTTGTTTCGGATTCGTCCGAGGATTTCAGATGTGTTACGTACGGGCACCCGCGTATGTGTATATCTTCCGTGAAGGGTACGTGGTTTTTCGTTGCAGATTGAAATTTTACTTACACATAGTAGAGCCTGTTTTGCATTGAACATAGATGGGGTTGGTCTGGTTATGTTGGAGTACTCGTGAGTGTCAATGTCAGTCTAACTCACTCTCGTTTCAACCGTATCAATATTTACCAATCTATCATACCAGCTTAATTAGTTTGATTAGTTTTAATCAGTTATCAATACTATATCTATTTTTACGTGAAATACCGAGAAAATTATGATTCAATGTAATAATCCAGCCTAAGTGTATTGCAATCAGTAGATAATCAAGAAAAAAATGATTATTCGTGATGGCAAAATAGTGCCCAGTTATTGAATCGATTTGAAATATTACTTTATTGATACCTCGAAAAATTAAATTTGTGATTTTTATCACTTCACGTATATAAATGATGTATCAAAACTCATAGAAATAAATAGTCGGTATGGTAGAAACCCTTTTAATACGATGAGTACCCTCAGAGATGCAGAAAATAGAGGTTATGTTTGACATAGGCATTTTCCTATTATAAAATATGACTTCATTCCATTAACTTTTTCAGTCTACTCAGTCGGTAAAGTAAAATTAACGGTTGATAGATTTTATGAGGTGTTTACCGTGAACAGATTCACAAGCCACCATAACCTATACGATATAATAAAAAAAGGTTTAAAAAACGGTGTGCAAAGGTAATTTTTCTCCTCTGATCGCCAGACGAAAGAAAAAAAAAAAAAAAAGAAAGCCATCAAACAACGAGGCCGTCACTTCGAATGATAATCACCTGAAGCAGACTCAATTTTCCCTCGCCTTCCTCTCTTGCGTTACACTTTAGTCTCCATCCCCTCACTTTTTCCGTCCGCCTTTTACAGAAAACGATGACGCTGCCGATCGATGAAACGGGGTGCCGTTAACGACTACACCTATCTGCCGATCTCTCCTTTCAAAAAAGTTTTCATCATCTCTCTCGAGTTAAACGGGAATTCCGCCCAAATCGATAGTCCATATTTTTAAAGGTTTATCCGTGAGACACCCTCTAGTTGGATGAAAAATGTGAGATTTTTAACCTTTCTCAATCATCCATTAACTTACGCATCGAAAATAGTTGAGCTTTTAAATATTCGAAAATTCTCAAAAAAAAAAATTAATTTCTAGTTTCAAAATGACTTTCTAAACCTCGACACAAGCAAGTCTCCCTCCGCCTCGGATTAGAGAGAACCAATCAATGCCGAGCATTCAGTCGCGTCGAGCGAAACTTTCCGCAGAAGTTTACCATTCAAGCCTCCAGGAGAAATGGTTATGAGCTGGAGGAGGGCTGGGACAGAGATAAGACAGTTTAATTTTCAATTACCGACCGGCAATAGTCACTCCGGAGTCTCGTCTCCTGTGCCGGGGAGGCTTCGATTAATCTGTCCTTTTTCAGTCGAAACGAGAGGACGGTCGAAGCTTCGAATGGGTGAAAATTCAAGCTTATCGAGAGAGGGAGAGAAAATGAAAGGGGGCAATGGGTATTTTTGGTCACGCGTATTGTCATGCTCATGAAAAAGAGAGGTAAGTGAAATCAAAGTTGGACGTAATTTTTCTTTTTCTTGCTAATTTAATAACTTATCTTTTAGAACTATTAAAAACATTTTCCAGCAAAAATGAAACATTGTGTATTGTAAAAAAAAAGTGCCTCAAATCAAAGTACTTAAATACATGACCAAATGACTGGGACCAACACTTCAAGATGCCTCATGCTTTGCAAGCTATCGTTTTTTCCGTGGCCATACTTCAAAGTGATAAATAATTTCCACCAATGGTAATAATAAAATAAACACGCATAAGTAGCTTCCAACGCAAAAAAAAAA